AATGCATGACTGTGAGATTCCACTTCCTTCTGCAAGTCCGGGGAGAAATCCCAGTGCTGGCAAAGTTGTGCAGAAGGAACCGCGGCGGTGACGTTGCTGGAAACGCCCTTGAAGAAACAGCCTTACGGGTCTCCTTGGCACTCCCTCTGTTTGGGTGAAGGCATCTCAAGGGAGGCGAATCCAGCGTCTATACCCAGAGAAGGAGCTCTGCTTGAGGAGCAGTCATGAGGACTAGAAACTCCTCCTTGCTTTTGCACCACAGAGCCTGAGATTCCCAGACTGGGTAGAATGGCTGCAAAGTTCTCACCTTGAAAAATAGATGCCCCCAAGGACGGCAGGTGCCCCTCTTTGCCCTTCAATGCCAAGTGCCAGCGGCTGAAAGACATGTTTTCTGTTATTGCCTCCTGTGAGAAGAGGAAGAAAACTCAGTCCGCAGGGAATGGGTGTGAGTGTTACTTTCAGATTAACCTTTCTAATCGTGCATTGCGGTGATCTTAATTCGTAACAGTTTCGTGTTCAGTTACATCTTCTAAAGCCAATATAAAATCAGAAACACGCAGGTGCTCGCACGCATTTCAACTCCTTGGCGTGTGCAAGCCTCTATCAGCATCACTCCTGACATTTCCCACTCCTGGACAGACACTCGGGCATTGTCCACCCTCCCCTGCCAGCTTCAGTTGAGTGTTTTCTGGCAATCGCCTGTTTCAAGAACCACAAGTCAGTGGATTAAGTCGTAGCACCAGATCCACTTTGCCGGTGACCGAATATCGTCCCGGTCCCTACCCCCACCCAGCCTATCCGTGTTGCCGAAAGCTTCCCCAGCGAGCACCCCACCCCGCTGGGGTCTCCATAGGATTTGGGTGAGGACGATGACCGGCTGGCACCATTCTAGGCGCTGAATGGCACCGGGCCTTCTGAGGCTTCCCTCCGCTGTCCGACAGAATCTCAGGCGCGTTTTAGGCTACGGTGGCCAAGTATTTGACGTAAACTGAGCAAAGGGGTCTGGCAGTGGAAGAATCCCTTGGCTGGCCCTTTGCATGGAAGCCCAGGGTAGCTCGTGGGGGCTGGCTGGACCCCGCTTCTGGCATCCTGAGGAGGCTTTGAGCTGGCCCCCTTGGCGGGTCTCTTCCCTGCCTCGCAACTTCCCCTTTGGGTCCTTCGCCGGGCCCCGCCCGTCCGCCCCGAGTGCCCCGGGGGGA